CATTATAACATGACAATGAAGCGACGACTGTATTCGACGAGATAGTATCGGACAAGTCTTAAGTTATCGGCATAATGGTCGATAAGAAACAATAAGAAATTAACTAGTGTGATTAAAAATATGGAAAAATCATCTAAAAATATCAAAAAATGACTTAAAAAGTAATTAACACCAAAAAATGCAAAAAAATACAAAATAAAAATTAGTTATTTGATTTCACATGCTAATGAAACACATTTGTGGCCAGGATAGCATCTTCTAAAAAGTTCTAAAAAAAAATGCAAAATGCATCAACTTTCGAGCCCTAATAATAACCAATGAAAGCTCTACGATCGATAAATCAGAATATTAAATTAGTATTTAAAAATACAGAAAATAATATTAATGTGTAAATTATAAGTAAAACAAGTAGTATTATAGAATTAGAATTTAATGATAAATGTATTACATTTTTAGTTTCTATAGGCCAATGTGAACGACCAGGGTGTTATTTGGGGAGGTTAGGGTGTAGGGTTTCACCCCTCACTTTTAAAATAGTTCAAATTGGCCTGCTAAAATAATGTAGTGTTTTTATATAATTCAAATTACATTTTATTTATATATTAACAATATTATTATTAAATTATTTTAATTATGACAATCATGATTACTTAATATTCAGGCCCATATTTAGGGGAGGGCACAGGTAGGCACATGCCCGGGAGCTTCAAGCCTCAGGGGCGGCAAAATATTTTAGTAAAATGAATTTTAAAAATGATGTACCTTATGAAAAAAAAATAAAACAATAAAAAAATAAAATAGTATGTTTTACAATGTTATAATTTGTAAATTAAAAAAAAAAAAACGTATTTTTATTATATTACAATTTTTAGTTGAAAAAAAAGAAAATTGTATGATTTATTATGTTTTAATTTGTTTAATTTGTTAATTAAAAAATTAAAATATTAAAATTAAAAAATTTTTGATTAAACGATTTTCATTTATAAGTTATATTTTAATATTAAAGAATCTCGATTATGGACGATATAATAAGTGTTACACTATTATTATTATTTTTTTTTTTCTGGGGACGGGGGTAAATTAAATGCATGGGGGTGCCAAATTTTTAAATACGGGCCAACTAATACTTAATATATTTTAATAAACAAATATTGTGTTATAAATTAAGTAAGTAAACAATAAAATTATCAAACTGGATCACAGGTTAAATTATATAATATGAAATCTTAGTCGTGGTTTAAACAATATTCGTAACTGCTTTTATTACGATTATATTGCCGAGCAGTCTGTTATCGGCAATAAGTGATGAGTGATAACGATAATGAACTGATAAATGTTAAATTCAACGATTTCTATGTTATATTTTTTAATTATTAAGTATTATATTATAAGTTAAATTGCAGAATTTGTATTATTATTCAGTAAAACTAAATTATATTTTGACCACTAAAATGAGTGAAAAAGAAAAAGTGGCGCATTTCGTCAACGAGAAAAAAATTAAAAAATTATTAGTAGCAACTGGTTCCTCTTGTCAGAATATTGTACAATTTAATGAAAAATGTTGTAAGTACCTATTAAAATAGTATTTGATGAATGTTATCAATACATGTATTATGTACCAACTAATTTTTTATAGAAATCTGACAATATTGAAAGCAAAAACGAATCAAATGATAATGTTTATAATGTAGTCAACATAAAATTAATGAACACGACTGTAGATGTGAGTTTATCAATTTAATATATTTTATATATTTATAATGTTTAATTTTATGTATAAATTTGTTTATTTCCCTTATACTTTATCTATAAATTAAATAATTTATCATCTACTAGCCAAAATAAATCAAAATCAAATTTTGTAGTTGACAATGTCAAACCTCAAATTATTAATTTTGATTGTAAATTAAGTGGTATAGAGCAAACAATAAAAAATGAAAATGAGGTTAGTATTTAAGTCTCCAAAATGATAAAAATGAATGATAAAAATAATAACTTTAGATAATTCAATATATTTTAAGATTCCTGATTTATCTCTTACGAAGTAAAATGATGCAATGTAGCACATTCTTTTAATTACCCAAGAAATTACCAAAACAGATAATTCAATTCAACATTTTCAACAAACTTTAGTTGGATTGAATACTCTGTTTTAAAACATATGGTATACTCTTTTATGTGCAAACATTATACTGTGAACATTGATAATTGTTTTGAAAGTACATTTATAAATAAAGGTTTTAATTGTCGGAAGAAGCAAACATAATCATATAAGAAACTAACAAATAGTGAAATATACAATGTTTTTAAATGTTAAAAAAAATGTTGTCACTTCACTAATTGTGAATAGTAAAAAAGACATTTAAGAAAATGATCAACATAATATTATTTACACATTAACAGATTAAGTAATCACAGATAAAGTAATCAATAATTTATTCTATTTAGTTTTTAAATTGTTTTTTTATTATTTAAGTTAAATGTGATTCGTAATCTATGGAAGTATTAAAAGCAGAATAATTTACGTAAGTAAATATATTATATATTTATAATTATGAAATTTCTAATTTTATAATTAGAAAAAAGTTTCTATTTCACCTTATAAAATTTCAAAATGGCCTACATGATACCTCGTACACCCCAAAAAAAAAAAAAAAACTGAAATGACGCCACTGATTAAAGAATATGTCTACAAATAGATAGCAAATATGGTAAAGTCAAATTAAATGAAGACCATTTTTGAATTTTGAAACGGGTACATAACGTATTTTACATGTGAAAAAAAATATTCTATTGAAGATTAATATTATTAACTAAAATATCAGTACTCCAAAAGTTTTTGTATGAATGTGTAATGAAATAGTAGTAGAATTACTATAAGTCATAATAAGTCCGTTTGCGCTGCGTGCACGCACCGCAAAAATGCAACGCAAAATCCAAAATAGTTAGAACATAGCGTTAGATAATCTATCGTCGCATCGGATTTATTTATGTTTTTAATTAATTCTATCAAATATTTAATTACTTATAAGAAATAAAAAGTTATTTAATACAACTTCGTCCATATTAATTTCCCATAAGGATTTTAACATTTGCTTATATGGAATTAATATTAATTAATATTATTAATACAAATATTATTAATAAGTAGTATTAAATAATTAGATCTGAATGATAATTGTATTGCATTTTTGGTTTCTATAGGCCAGTATTAACTCAGATAACTACAAAAAGATAGCAAATATCGTAACATCAAATTAAATGAAGGCCATTTTTGAATTTTGAAGCGGATATATAGTAAAAAACGTAAATTACACGTTAAAAAATTGTTTCTATTGAATAATAATAGCAACTAAAATACCTGTACACCAAATGTTTTTGTATCATTGTGTTTTGCAACAGTAATAGACTTAGATAATCTCGCATGACATCGGATTTATCTATTCAATTCCAATGTCATCGGGATAAACTTATTTTTAAATAGTTATTATAATACTGATGTCATTAAACAATCGCGCAATTGATAAACATCAGCATTTTATACATATATATATATACGAAGTATAGTAGAGCCTAAATGCATTTTTTAAAGTTTAATGCACAATATATGATGTTATATATGTTCAATGTCATCCGTTATGCATTAGGTAGATTACTAAAAATGTCAAAACATACATAATTATTTATTTTTTTCGTCGGAGAATTTGTGAAAATTGGGATATTCGTAAGTGTGAAAAATAATCTGAATGAATATTTGTTATAAAATATATGTAAATATTATATTTTTATATTTGTAATTTTTGTAAATTACGGTACTAATGGTTTAATTATAAACTAATGGTAAACCAATTCTCTATAAAGTAACATTGATTCAATATCAATTGCAATTCATATATTGTAAATAAAAATACTATTGAACTAAATATAATTATAG